AAGGCTCCATGGAGAGCAATGGTGCAGTATTCAAGGGGACATCGACCAGAAACCTATTTTTTCCTACGACTGTTCCAGTGCCATACCCAAAGCCACAAATATCATGGGAGAGGAGGTGAATAGCACCGAGACCTGGGAACACATAAGAGAGACATCCAAGCATGTGGGGGAGCAACTCAGAGAAAAACTCCTTGACACTAAACCACAGAATTGTGGAACCACAGGTAAGTGTGAATACTCCCAAGGGAACAAGAAAGGCAGGAATCATATGCGTGCATGAAAACAGAACACAGCTGGATGTTGATCCCTGCAGCCAGTCTTGGAGGGGAGAACAGGCCACATGAGAAGTAGAGCAGCACAGGGGGATACGGGTGGTGGTCAAGGATTTGTCCAGAGCAGACACTGATCTCTTTCTGTGGGGCAGCTCCCCTCACCCTGTCAGCCAACATGACCTGTCAGCTTGTCGCCGGTGGACACAGGAGCTGGTGCTGGGATTTTGACATCAATGGAAAGACTTCAGCTCAAGTTGACTCAAGACGCAAAATGTGGACAGAGGAACCTTCTGGACGCAGCTGCATGAAAGACAACTGGGAGAAGGACAAGGAAATGACCAGTATCTTATACAGGACCTCAGAGGGAGACTGTCAGAAATGGCGTGAGGAGTTACTGAAGCACTTGAAAAGGCAGGAGGAGCCCACAGGTAACTGGGGTGGGGGGAGGAAGAGGAGGCTTCCTTAAAATGGCTGTCACTGTGTGCACACATTTCCCCCTCCCCCTGCCGTGTGTGTGTGTGTGTGTGTGTGTGTGTGTTCATACTCCATGAACCCCTAGTTCTTCCTGGGGAATGGTGCCAGGTGTGCTCCTCCCATCTTCCCTTCTCCCCCTACCTGACATGACTTTTTCACGCCTGGCTAAATTATTTTATTTTAATTTGTTTTTGTTTTTTGTATTGGGACTCTGGCCCATGTGCTTGTGAGGCAGGCAGCAGAACCACTGAGCCAAATCCCCTGCACTTCCTGATATGTCTTGCTCACTGCACATATTTTGATGGCTGCACTGTGGCTTTCTTGCTGACTTCCCTACAGGGGCATTATTTTCTGCCGAGGATTTTTCCTCTTAGTCTTTCCTCACTCCAGAATCACTTCTCTTTTTCACCCCTCCTGCTGTCTTTCTTGAAACCCTTCCAAACCACCTCAACTATCAGCTCCTGACATGCTTCCCTCACACCACCCTGATGAGTCACCTCCTCTCCTGCCAGCAGAAGAGTGGGGGGCGTTGTCCGCTGGCTGCTCCCTACCTAATGCCTCCTTGCACACAGGGACCATCTGCTCCCTCACTTCCCAGCCCAGGACCCGTCACAGGGGCTGCCATCTAGCACAGGGGTAGGAACTGTCAGCCAAGCTGGGCCACCTGAAGTGAGGAGAGCTGAGGAGGGCTCTGCTCAGACTGGGGTCAGACCAAGGGCTGACACTCTCTTGTTTCCATTCCAGCACCTCCACCCACCACACAAAACTTGCCCCCATCCAGCTCTGTGGTGATCACTCCAAATGTGTGGGTCCTGCTGCTGATCATCACCTGCTCCATCCTATGTTGTTTCTATGGAGAGATTCAGTGACAGGTGCGGTGGGCGTGCTTTGAGGGAGAGCAAGGGAATGAGGGTCGAGGAGTAAGGCTGGGAAAATGGAACCTCAGAGTGCCTATTCTGAGTTCACGTGTACTCAGGACATTTTGGGGGGCTCCCAGATGAGGAGAGAGAGGAGGAGGAAGGCTATCTGCAGCCACACTCAAGGCCAGGGGAACCAGGTTCCAGGCCTCTATGTTGGGAACCCCCCGCCCCAGCCTGTCTCTAGCCCCTTCCCTGAGAGGGAGGAGCAGGCTCTGGGTCAGGGAGCAGATCCAGTCTCCACAGCTTCAGTGCTGAGCAGCACTAATGCTAAGCAGGGCCTGTGGCTGATGCTGGGATGAGGGGAAGGACGAGGAGGCTGCTACAGGCTCCAGGGGCAGGGACTGAGAGTGGGAGGGGAACACATGACCCTTAGTGAGGGCAGACCCGAGGTTGGGCTGACTAGGGAGGAGTCCCCAGCAGAACTGACGCAGGGCTTCCTCAGACCCTGGGAGTTACATTTGCTGCTTTTCTCAAGGTTGACGGTGCTGGAGAGAAGCTCCTGAAAAGGTGATCAAGTAAAATTCATCTCCTGAGTGGTCATCTGCCAGTCCACCATCCGCTGTCCATTCCGAGGCTCCGGCAAGCCATTGAGACTGGAGCTGGGCTGCCTGGTTCTCCTCTGCTTTCCCACATGAAGTGAGGGGTCAGCGTGTCGCTTGAGGCCCACCATGATCCCACACAGACCTCTGTGGCGGCTTTGTTCCTCCTGACCACAGCAGCCCATTCCTCTGGTGCTACCCAGTGGTCCTTGTCATCCCAGAGCCCAGTTATTGCCAGGAAGTTGCTCTGACTTCAACATCTCGTGCCCTTTGGGCCATTTAGGTTGCTCCCACTGTGCACTTTTATTAACATCTCAGGCCATTTTCTCTTGGCGCCAACTGAAGGCATCTTTCCCTTGGATTCCTAAATGCTTGAACTAAAGTCTGGACGGAGAGAGGAATTTCTATCTGCTGCTTTGTTGTATGTGATGAAATAATCCTCAGAGCCCTAACAGTAACCTTGTTGTAAGGATCCTGCCACTGAAATATGTTGAACCTCACACTTCAGGGATTAGTCGTATATCCTCTATTTTTAAAAAGCATTGAATTCTTTTGATTGTGTCCTTTAATAACTTACCACCTGACATTTAAAGGAAGCTCTTCATTTTGAAACAAACATCTGAATTAGTCTGTAATTTGGTTTTACGATCCATGTGGTAGATATTTTCTTGTATCAACCTGATTGCCCAAGGGTTGTCGTAACTGTAATTGTGGTAATTATTATTATTGTGGTAATTATTATCATGTGGTTATTATTATTGTGGTAATTATTATTATGTGGTAATTATTGTTGTGGTAATTATTATTATTATTATTATTATTATTATTAAGATATTTGTGTCTATGAGGGATTTTCTGACAGAGATTCTTACTTGCAGCGCAAAGCTGAACCCATTACATCCTTTCCACTCATTGATAAAAGAAAAAGGCGGAGGAAGGACAAATTCACTGTGCTCCAGCTGAGCCATCCCTCTGCTCCAGACCTGGGACTTGACATTTGTGCTTCTGTTCCTCAGGCTCCCCGACTAGACCAGGACCTACACCATCTGCCATCCACGCCAGGTCTTCCCACTCACACTCACTGCCTTTCTTGATTCTTAATCTGCTGACAGCCGATTGGCAGACATCGTGGGCACCATACCCTGTAAGCCTATTTCCACAACAAACCTGTGGTTTCTATTTCCCTGGAGAACCCTGATTAATATGAATTTATAGTGTGAATGATAATTCAGTCTACCTTCATATTATTGAGTCATTTGTAAAACAAATTATTTTTCTGAATTTGTTTACGAAACAGGGAGTTTAGGAATCACCCTCAATTTAAGAAGGGGTCTAAACATTTTTGTGACTATCAAGCAAACAATATATGCTCTGCTGGGTGTGCTGGCACACCCCTGTAATCCCATCACACAGGAGGCTGAGACAGGAGGACTGCCATGAGTTCATGAGTTCAAGATAAGACTGGGCTGCATAGTGAGTTTAAAACCAGAGTGAACTACATAGTGAGACTCTGTCTTAGAAAAACAAAACGAAAAGAAAAACATGCTCTTATGTTAAGGAATACAATTTTTGTCTGATTTTTCTCCAGCACTTCCTGCTTCAGTAGTGATTTTCTTATGGTTCCTAGTTCCTGACCTCCCATTGAGTTAGAAGGAATGTTCACAGCACAATGCCCTCTATCTCTTAAGTTTTTTATTCTCTTGCTTATAGTATCACTTCCACAGTACTCCTACCAACATCTAATTCTTCTAAGGTATGGGCAAACAGTATGAATAGTTCATAGTACCACAGCCTTCAGAAAGATTCAACATATTCCAAATAATTAAGATAATAGAAACTAAAAGAACCATGCAACTTTCCCATACAACCAACAAGTTGATAATGTTCAAATATATCCATACTAAGTGGTGGATAGGAGAAGGAACACAGAGTTGTCTTACCTTGTGGCTAGAAGTATAAATTGAAGCAATCTTTTGACCCATAATTTGATGTTTCCAGTACACCGGACAATATGATCACTGTACTTTACAATAGTCCCAGTGTTAGTTCTAGAATTCCACACAGGGTGAAATACCATGTAGATATATAGTTGATTGCCAAGGTATTGTATGTATAACAAAAAAAAAGGAACAATAACCTGTCCAGTTAAATTAGAACAATTTTTTAATATTGATGACATTTTTCTGTGTGGCTGTATTTTAAACAAATTAAACTATTATAAAAAATGAAGCAACTAACATGTTGGTGGAAATTGTTTTAAGTCTTTCTAATATACTCATGAGTTCTTCGGATTGACATAAATTAATACTGATCTTATAAATTCAAACCTCTCCCCACATCTTCAAAATTTCATATGTCAACAAGCGGGACAAATAAAATACCATAAATCTCACCTTAAACAATCAAAGAGACACCAAACATGATCTATGTGGTAGATATTTTCTTGTATCAACCTGATTGCCCAAGGGTTGTCGTAACTGTAATTGTTTTAGAAACAAAAATCCAGTCCTTTGAGTACAATGGACAATATTGGCATAATTAGTAAAAATGAAATGAAATCTGAGGTTGGATGGCAGTGATGTGTGGATGTGGAATCTTTCCCTGACTCTGTGTCCTCTTCTGCAGGAAATACAGAGTATAGTATGTGGCATCCACAATGATCACAGGGAGTGGGGTGGCATCTGCATGACACCTTACTCTCATACTGTTCAGGAATTTTTGTCCTATACCTGACAATTTTCTGTTGCTTTTGTTTATTTCAACAATGTTTATAGATATTAAAAACAAGAAATTAAGGAAAAGCTAGTTGTCAAAATTGACATGATAGAAGCTGATTCTAAAAGTGAGATGAAACCAATGAGGAAGGTTTGCTTCCAAATTCCATGGACTTTCTTTAGGCACTATGCTTCTTCCTTAGTCTTATTCTGCTACTATATCAAATACCACATACTGGATAGACTATAATCCACAGAAATTATTGCTTACAGTTTTGGAGACCAGAAAGTCAAAGATCAAAGCACCAGCAGATTCAGTGTCTGTGAATGAGTTCTTCCTCCTAGGTCCTCATATGGTAGAAGGTAAAATATGCTTCATTCATAAGGGCACTAGTATATTTATGAAGGGGGATCCCTCACAACTAAATTCTCTCGTAATAGTCCCACCTCACTACTGTATTGTTGGGATTTAGGTTTCAAGTGTGAATTTTGAAGGTCCACTGACATGCAGAGTAGCCTCTTTCTTAGTTGTAGGATGAGCCAAATAGAAGAGTTTTTTTTTTAATGAAATAAACAAAAATTTATGTAACACAGACTAATAATCAAAATACATTATTTGTTTGATATGATCTTCAATACATTATGTTCTTTCTCATTTTCTTATATATTTTTGAAATAATGTAATTACAAATAAAACAAAGTTACATATTATAGTTGAGAAACTGTCCTCAAAATTTTATGATTTATAAACTCCTTGGTTTTATTAATTGATAAATATCATATGCTTGTTGATTGTACTACTTACATTTTCTAACATAATTTCCCACACACAAAAAATATACTTATATTTGAAATCCAAAAGCAACTAAAATAATTCACATTTTTAAGATCAGATTTTTCTGTTTCTATTTTATTATATCCCATACTTATTTTTATTATATTTTTATAGCATAATGATAGAATTTAACACCAATACATATGTAATATTCTTCCTAAATGAATGACTATAAATTAAGTCAAGCATGTAATTTAGAGAAATCATAAGGTTGCCAGAGAAACTATCAATATGCCAAATGTGCACCATCCTACCACATTCATGACCATGTTTCTCATTTAATAGTGCACACATATGTGTAAAAACATACCCCCACACATATACACAATGCAT